ACGTGATAAGGCGCTAATTATTAGTTTCGGTCGTAAAGAATAACTTTCTAACCATTTAATGAAATTTTTATGTGTGGGGGAATATAGTAGACCAGCCAGATCAACAAGAGTAACTATGCAACACATTCGCATAATAATGAAGTAAGATCCTGATATGCTATTTCCGATATTTCTTTTTCCTGCTTATATGCATTCTTCTCAGTGGGAGTTTCATAATCATCCGATAATTATATAATCTAAACCCAGGATCATTCTCTGAAGATCTAATGAATTTTTGGATTAAAAAACTAGTTTGCGTTCAAGAAAATAACAAATTAAAAATATGCATTATTTATAAAGTTTTATTATAGAAAGCATTATTATAAATTTTTTTTTTTTTTTTAAAAAAAAAAGGTTCATTTATCGATAAAGTGCATTTGTCTCTTTTATTTGGAAAACGCCAACTTTCTTATATTGGTTACGAATTCCGTCCTTGCATAATATCCGTTCTCCAAAATTGCTTTAATGAAATTTGTATACCGGCACAACTTACAAAGGTTAATACACGGCGTAAATTTACTTATATATATATCAAGTCTTGGCAAGTTTATGTTCCAAAAATGAATTAACAGATTCTATGATAAGTAACACCCGAATATCTATATTCTGATCTAAAATGCAATTATCTAAATGCTTACATAGAAATATTACTAATTATGATGAAAAAGAAATCATTTAGACAATAAGATCAATCAGATGTCGTGGGAACATACATATACATGATCTATTCTTTTTAAGATCGTAATGGTATGGTTAAGCTTTTGATTTGGGGTTAAATCTTTCATATCGGATACCTATTTCATATGTGTGCTGTTGAAAATAAATTACATAATGCTTATATTGACATTTAATTTTACTCTTTTTGAAAATGATCTCCTGGTTTTTGGCGGTTATATTTATCATTAAAAAAATTTTTTATAGATCTATCACTATATTTCTTTTTTTTTGTCTTTTTTTGAAAAGTACACTTAAATAGTTAGTACCATTTGTTAATCTCAACATGGGTGTTAAACGCGCATTCTTTATACTATATTACTAGAAATACAATTTTTTTATTTATAGATGATCTACAAAATCATTTCCCGAAAATCATTTTGGCTACTAGGGTTGGCCCGATTTAAAGTTAGGGTTGGCCTGATTTAGAATTAGTGTTAGAGATTAAAATCTCGATTTTGATCTTGATATATGTCACGTATCTCGCGTGAGATTGCAGCTAGAATCTATGATTAGTATTAAAAATAATTAGGAATAATTAGTTTAATCTATATTCTAATTTTCAATCGAATTCTAATTTAAGCAAATTTATACATATTTTTAATTATAATCAAAATTTATATAATAGTAAATTTTATAAGAAACGCCTATTTTCACCATAGGTAGATCTATAGCCGGGAATTAAAATTAGAGTTAGGGTGGCTAGTTATTTACTGTAAGAGATATTCTGGATGATCTTCAAAAACACGAGTTTGCACAATAGCTAATAAAATTTTAGAAAAATAGCCGAATAAAAAAATGTTTGGTAAATTATACATAATTGTACATGTCACAGTCGTGAATCAAACCACATATTTGGATTTTTGAAGATTACTTTAGATATTTTGTTATTTAGAGTAAGTGGATTTTAAAATATATAATTATTGAATGCCCAATAACAGCTTTACAATATTTGACAGGCGAAAGATCATACAGTGATCCTTCGAATCACTGTATGTCGTTTCACATAACAAGTAAAAGAAGCATCTGGCTTCGAATTTAATGTGTTAATCAGGGCCCCGAAGGGACTCAGGTTGTGAGTGCATTAAATTCAAAACCAGATGCGCTGTTATTGGATGCGAAACATCCAAAAATGGGTTTATTTTTCTTTTTCTCATTTAACAAATAAATCAGATAAGCTTAATCTTAATTGAATATATTTTGGCGTATAATATATACTTATACGATCTACATTTACTATTAAAAAAATAATAATAACGATAATACATAGTTATTGTTATTGTTATTGTACGTATCACATACTACAATTATAAAGGCAATAATGATTATACGTATATATAATTTATTATAATAAAAACAGTATATAAGTAAAAATAGTAATTTTTATTTTATAATTTATACGCTGAATATTAATATTTGAAATATTAGGTTTTTTTAAAAAAAAGCTATATATATATAAATATATTGTATAATCTAATTTAAAAATTCAATTAATGCTATTTAGTAACAAATAATTAAATATTCTTTACTATATTTTAAACAATAATAAATTATAAAATTAAAGACCTAATATTTTTTATATTTATAAACGACTTTTTAAAAATTTTAATTAATAATATTTCAACAACTATTTAATAAAATTTAATAAAATTTAAAAAGTTTTTTTTATTTAAATTTTATAAGTCTATAAAGTTAAAAAAATGTTTATTAAATTTTATTAAGTAATTGTTAAAATATATATAGTACTTGAATTAATAAACTATGCAAATATTTTTAAAAAGTTATTTTGTTTAAAATTATAAAAATTTTTATTATAAAAAATTTGTTTAATTTTTATTAAAGACGATGTTATTTATTATTTAATTTTTTTTTTTATTAAAGCACCGAAAACTTTTACTTAATAGCCCAAAGCTAGTTTTTGTAATAAAAATTTCTTTATTTGTTACACGAGATCTAATTGGTAAATCGTAGGGTGGTTAATGTCATCGGGGCAAGTTAGCAATACTTTTAAATTATATAATTAGACTTTTTTATAGTTACCTCACAAAATTAATATAATTATAGTTTTATTTTTATTAACTTTTTTACAATTAGCTTATAGTTATTATTATATTTTTTAAAGCCAATTATATAAAATCTATATAAAATTATTTTTTATATAGTTTATTAATAAAGATATTAATGTTTGGCTCTGATTTTCTTAATAACCACCAAATCAAAATTTGTTAAAATTTTTACTGAAGGTAAATATAATATTCGGCTATGATACATTAAAATTTTAACCAATTTAGATTAGTAGTTGTTTAGAAATTGCTTAAATATTATAAATAATTTATTATTCATAGTTTTTAAGCAATTTTTCAAGTAATAATCCGTATAGTACACGAAATATTGATTTGTCAAAACAATTTGTATAAAAAAAATTAAATGCTGATTAAGATTAGGGTAAAGGTGAATTTGGGATAAAGGCGAGAAGAGTGGTTTATACCAAAATTTCACAGAGAATTTTTTTTTTATTAATATTCGAAAGGCAGTTTCATAAGCAAAATCTTGAGTTAAAAATGATTTTTTTAAAAAAAGCAATAATTTTACATTATACCTGATCGTGTAATCTGGTTGGCTTTCTATATTACCCGTGTGTTCAAATAAAATTTACTTTTTTCTTTTTTCTTTTTTTTAACTTATTTTTTTTATTATTTAACATTTAATTTATTTATTTATATAATTTTTTTATTTTTTTTAATTTATTTAAGCCAAAAAAACCCCCAATAAATATTAATTAATAATAATTTGCTAATCTAAATTTGGATTAAATATAATATAGATTTTCTTTACTTTTTCATGGTGTGACAAATAATTTGTGTGATGGATAACACCGCATAAGAATAGGGCCAGAATTGCACACAATCCGTGCCTTATTTGTTAAATAGTGTTATTCGTCACACTACTTATTTGCCAACCACGAAAAAAGGGCTAGTTATATAACTTATGATATGTAACAATCGTTATATATAAGTTATCTCCTTTTTTTATACTGTATAAACGCGAAATAACACCCCGAGATGTAATTTCGAATTTTGGCCTAAATTAAGCTTAATTCAGGCTGTTATTTAAAATAACGCCCGGGCATAATTTCGCGTTTATACGATATTAAACTACCAAACAATCTGTTTAAATAGTTTTTTTGAAGATACATGACAACAATATTATCACTATTTTCGAAATGGTTGAAAATAGTAATACTCGAATACTCGATTAATTTAAAAACATTGGTTACTATTTTGTAAATTAGAAATTGATCATTGATCAATGTTCTGAACTAATTACCATTTTTAAAACAGCGATAATATACAGAAAAAATAAGCAGCTAGTAATGGATATTTTTTTCTTGATTTATTTCACGAATCGAAGTGGTATACAACTTTGTATATGTGTCTTTGCCTTGAAAATGACCTTACGGGACTATGTAGATTTTATGAAATTAAACTTTCTAGCTATCCAGTAATCCAATTCAAATAAACTTTTTTATTTTATTTTATAAAGCTTAGTGAGTTCTACAAAATTGATTGAATTGGATTATTAGACGGCCAGAAATTTTAATTTTATTCATAAAATCTATATAGTCCCATAAGGTAATTTTCTAGACAAAGACCCATATTATTTACATTTGGCCAATAATCTAACCATCTGACATGATAGCTAATTATTGCTGTTTTCGAATGGTTGAAAATAGCAATATTTTTTTTGCGTATGCTCGAATACTCGAATAGTTTAGGACATTGGTCATTATTATGTAAATTGAAAATCGATAATCGATCAATCATCTATTGAATATTTGAGTATTCGCAAAAACTTTTTTTATAAATATTGCTATTTTCAACCATTTCGGAAACAACGATAAAAAGAACTTGCACATGATTTAAACAATAAAATTGTAAGATTGAAGCAGGGTTAAAAAAGAGCCAAAGATTTTTGCAAGAAATTATTAGAGTATAAGTGGTATATTAATTCTGGCTCACATTGCATAAGAATTGACATTATATATTACAAATCATAAAAATATACTATATTGTATATCCATAATTTATATGCATATTAGCCTCAAACGAAACTCTTAATTGACAACCTCACTTCTACGTACTTCAGAAATAAGCAATAGTATAGAGGAATATGCACACCTTAATAAGTACTTAAACAGTTATCGTAAATTGCTGTATACAAGACTCCCCAGATATCAGACTCCCTAGCTATACCTGGGTCTACAACATGGGATAAAGCTTTGGTAAAATGTAAAAGACTCGGGGTGTACATATAGGAAAAACTAATAAAATAGAATAAACCCCCAATCATCAGACTCACACTCATGCAAGAGACTCACGGGTCTAATTATTGGTTTTAAAATTGGTAAATGAATTAGACCCGGGTAAATAAATATCTATAAATAAAAAATATAAAATAAAGTAAAATAAAAAAGGTCGTTAAGAATCAAACTTAGACTAAAAAAATATTAAAGTTCAGGGGGGAACGCGAGAAGAGTCAACTGAGAAACCAATTGATGAAGCGAAGAAATTTCTGCTTCTAAAGAAGATATCTTGGAGTTTAAGGAAGAAATTTCATCAGTAAGAATTTGAATCTCTTCGAGAAGTTTTTGACGAGAAATCTGACGCGAAGGATCAACAAAAACAAAGCTTAAAGCATTATTGTTTGAAGACATTTTATTTCGGTAGAGTATTGGAAATACTTTAAATTAAATGTTGATTGAACAAATTGATATTATTCAATATAAAAGAGCGTCAAAAAATAAAGCTTTAATAATTGAATCGATTAAAACCATAGCCTGAAAGATATATACATGAAAGGGTAACACAGTCGGGCAAAATTTCAGAACCTGAATTTGGGCGCATTTACTAAATTTGCGATTTCGATTCTTTTTTTCCTTTGGTGTATAATTTGTTACAAACTTAATCAAATCGCTGAAAAATCATTCGGCCAATTACCTTTGGTATATAATTTGTTATTCCTTTCTACCTTTGGTGTTTTGTTTTGTTTTGTTTGTATCACCCGCCATGAATTGATCTCTACGAACACTATTCGAAATGGTTGAATTTACAAAAAAAAAAATTTTGAAAACAGCGATAAGAAAAATAATAATACAATAATAATAAATTTCATTAATACAGTATAATTTAATATATATATATCCATTTATTAGTGGTACCCTTATATGAACTTGGATTGGTAGAATGAAATACCTTAATAGTAATGTTTAACGAAAAAGGTTTTTAGCAATGCTGTTAATTATCATGATTTTCTACGTATTAACGTTAACTCCAGAAACTAACGCTAATATGATGATCATCAAATCCACTATTGATCCGTTAGTGTCTCCGATAGCATCTTATTTAAAATTATATTTAGTGTTTATTAACATTAACGTTAATAATAATGAATTTAAAAAAAAATCCGGGTTTATAAAGTGTTATAATGTAAAGTATGGTATAGATGATGTTAATACTGTATACATTATATACATTATCTATACGGATGTTCTATAGAATAGGTGGGCAGACTCCTCAAACTCAGCAACTCCGCTAAATATTTATTAATGATTACTAATTAGTAGCGGAGTTTATTTTTTATATTGCCCACCTATTCTATAGAACATCCGACACTAACTGTATATTTGTATTATTATATGCTATAAAAATCAAAGAGTTTTTTTTATATAAAAAACTTTATACATTGTTTTTTTTTTTCGACAAGGGTTTATAAAATAGGTCTATATAAACCATACGTATAAAATATTAATCATAAATTTTATTAATTTTGTTATATTAATATATATCATACAGTATAATTAAATCTTAATTAGTAGTTGTTATTTTTGTAAAATTAATTTTAAAATGGCTAGTAAAGTTATTTAATACAATTAGAAACTACTACATCTATCAGGATGAAATTAAAAAAAAATGTTTACAGATTTTCTTTTGGCAGCATTATATTATAAAATAAACGTTAGACTTGATGTATTACCCATGTAAACTAACTACCCCTGCAATTTTTAGTACTATAGTAGCATCACGTGACGATAGCTTTATTAAAAACTTTTCATAAAGACTATATATAACGTTCTAACCAAAAGAGATTTATAAACATAGTAATTTCAAATATGGATAATTGTAACAAGACTTAATCAAGGATAAAGTTTTAAAGAAAATTTTTTTGTGTAAATATTAATACAAAATAATCAAAAGATTGTTTCTCAAAACGTGAAATTGACATAAGTTTAGGATGGTGGGAACACTTTAACTAATTTTAACGTTTGATTAAACGCAAAGTTTTTGTTTTTACAAAAGTCAAGTCATTTTGTGAATGTTAAGAGATATCGAAAAATAAACATTCCCAGACATGGGGTTACCTTGTATTATAATTTAAAAAACATAAGTACAATATGTTGTATATGTATAACGAATCAAATATGGCCATACAATGATTGTAAACATGTTGTATTCACAAGATGCCAAAGATAAACCAATGTGTATTTATGTCTTTTAAGTTTGGCGTTTTGGTGTTTTTGCCGTATCGGTATTGGCAAAATAAAGATATGTAAAGTTCGTACGTACGTTTCGTACCTACCTTTCAAATTGAACCCTGCATTAACACTAACCAAATTAGGAAAGTTGGTATATATTACCCGGAGCAAAACTTTAAACATGATCCGTATAGAACAGAATAAGCTTAATTATAATTATTTATGGCTTTATTTTTAGTTGTCTTACTGATTAAATTCATCTAAATTTTCCAAAATATTTAAATTGTAAATTTCTTGTGAAAATTTCTAAATGTTGCAAAAAAAATGATACAGAGATTGTTTATTTACAAACATCATGAGCAACATGACAGTTGAAGCGGGATTGATAATTTTTAGAGATACTTTTTTTGAAAAATATTTTTTCGAGAAAAATATCAAGCTTAAAAAGGGTATAGAACCCCAAACATATAAAAAATCTATTGTTACAATAATAATAAGGAACGAATTTTTGTTCAAAAAAATCAATATTTGTGTTTTATAACTTTGTGAATGTTTCTAAAAAATATTTTTTAATCACAAAGAATAATGATAATAGGATAACCCAAGTATAAACCAAGTACTGTATATCAATATACATAATAGTATAACAATTATATACAGCAGTACTGTAGAACTGTAGAATTAACATAAAAAGTATTAATATACCTTATACGTACACCTTATACGTACAGTATTAATCCATGTAATGTAAATTTAGAAATTTATGAAAATCGGTTATTGTTCCGGAATAATCATATAATAGACAATGTTACCATATTACAATATCGACATGACAATATAATATAATATTGTACGTGTTTGCTTAAAGAATAACTTTAATAAGAAAATTAAAAGAATTTGAAGAATTTGAAAAATGTTACCTATTGTGTACAGTACTCAACGATTGTTCTAATAGTTATTCTAATGAATTATTATAATAATTATTATAATGGATATTATAATGGATATTATGATGGTTGTTTGTTGCCTGTCTTGTAATAGTTTGTTGTTCTTTAAAAGATATCAATGCACGAAGACTATACCAAGATTGAATGAGTTCATTTGACAAAGAACTTTGTAAACAATTTAAATCGGTTGAAAGATTTATTTTAACCAGGAAAGCATAAATTGGTGTAAATGCACTTGCTCATTTGCTGCATAAGACAATAAAAATTAGATATTAATATGAACAATTAGAAAATTACAATAATTACAATAATATTAATTATAAACCATTTCGCATATTGTCTATTTACATATTAGGAAGTTCCCATATAAATATTAAGTTTCGATCTATTTTCCTTATTTTCCTTTGTTGTTTTATATATATATATATATATATATATATTATTTATTTATTATTATTATTATTATTATTTTGGCGTGAGATATCAAAAACACCTATGCAGGACACTAGCTTGATTGTTTACTTTTCGCGATTGGGTAAGAAAAAAAAAAAAAAAGAAAATATGGTATTAAATTTATGTATGATTTATTATGGTTCGTTAAATTCGAGAAAAAAAACAGTCGGAAATAGATCAAAATATTTACAATTGTCAATGAAACAGTGACCCGGGAAATATTTATAGTAAATGAAACTAACTAACTGATCTGCTTTTTTCTAATAAAAAAAAAAAATGCGTGAAAAAAATCCAATATATGCAATATTGTTGATGGTGCAAAAAACAAACATCACTACTTGATAGCATTAATGTTTTTTGACTCAGATGTTTGTACAGTACATAGGCTTAATAATTATACTTGAATTGGCAATTTAACTAAATTCAGAAAATTATGTAAATTTTTAAGCAAAATAAAGTTTTCTTTTTCAGACAAAGGAGGGTAGGTAATTCCTCCTACTTGATACAGGATTTACAGCAAATAAAAATGATGAAATAATTGGTGCTCGGTATTTACCCTCCCCAGTATATACTATATTCCCGATGGCTAATGAACATTAGCATGCAGAAATTCTTAAAGTATGTTTTACGTATTAGTATATTACAATAAATTAGAAATTATGTATGTCGGCTAAAAAGAATTAAAAATGATGTATGCCGGCTAAAAGAATTAAAAATGATGTATGCCGGAGCCCGATAGCATATATACTAATTTACTTCAAGATCGCATTTTTAAAAAAAACAAATACACACTCGTGATAAATGATCTTAAAAAACTCTAAGCTCGGTAATAAGCGAATTTTATCATACACAAAAATTGAAAGCAGAATATATCGAGATATCGAGATTTAACCGATAAAAATTTTTTTTGGTGATACCAGAATTCATAATTTATCTACTTATATCTTATATACTTATTAAACAAGCCGGAATATTATACTTTTTTAAATTTTGTTACCGGTTACAAACTTTTCGAGGATAATTTTTAAACGAATATCTTTCACTTTTATAATCTATTATAATCAATTTGATTAAAACCACGTTTTTTGACTTAAAAATTATAGTAATATACTTTATAAGTTAGTCAATCATATATTTTTGTGCAAAAAAATATATTTTATTATTTTTAATACATGGGTTACGTTCTAAAAAAAGTTTACACAAGTCTGAATTTAGATAATTTAAATGATTTAAATGATTTAAATAATTTAAATGACAAGGGAAATATCATACATGTAAATAAAAATTTTTATGCGCGTTAATATAGATAAATTATTATTAATTCGGAAAGAAACGGACAAATCTAACATTTAGAAACCAACATTTAAAAACCAACATTAAAAATTAACATTAAAAACACATTATAAATATATGCATTAGAAATACATTAGAAATACACTAGAAATCATTGTGATTTAAATCACGAAAAACACGAATAATTTTTAGTAAGAGAAATTATAATATGTATTAATAATAAAAGGAATTATTAGATAAGTTAATGATTTAAGCAAAATTACAGGCATTTATTAACATTAATGATTAATCAAATGATTAATCAGTCAATGGTATACCAATACGCAACATAATTTAGATATTGAAAATTATAACTAATAATGCCGTTCATTATATGCGTGCATTAAATTAATTTTGATTGGACTTTCTTTATACAATAATGCAGCATACATTAGTTTATAAAAAAAAATGTTCTTTTTTTCAAAAATTTAGGAAGACAATATGGTTGTACCTTGCAATACGTATAAACGGTAGCAAAAAAAATCAAATAAAGAAAATTATGTTGTACTTTTTTTTAATATTTGTTTATTGTGTTTGATAGGTATACAATTTGGTTATAGAACAAATTTCTTTGTCTAGTTCAGGTTCACGGCGGTAAATGATTCAAAGAAAAAAAATAAACACATAGGCAAACTAATTTTTTCAAGCATTTTAAAAGTTCCGGTGATGCAGATGATAATTAAATACGTAAAAATACGTATGTACATTACATACAAGTAAGTACGTAGAACTTCCAAATAGTGTAGTAATAGTGTAGCACGTATAGTATCTTTGCCAGTCGTTTGTTCAAAGTTTCTTGGAAAAATTTATAGAAAATAACCAACTCAAATTATTTATTATTTTTATTATTGATACGTGAGAATGTTCTTTGTTACTAAAAAACTGGAAATTTTAATCGATATGTCGGTATGTAAGGTAAAAATTGAATTAATAATAGCGCCAAATTTGTATCTACGGAACAACTATTGTAATTTTTAATTTTTAATTAATAAATAATTATTAATAATTAAACCAATTTTTCAATTTAAGAACATATATGTAACTCCTATTGAAAAAATAATTATTAATTTCCAAAACTCGGGCTGGGATATCCAAAATCCTATTAGAGATTAATTAGAGATTAATTAGAGATTAATTAGAGATTAATTAGAGATTAATTGGACATTCGACACTCGGATTAACCTATGAATAAAAATGTACAGAATCTAACTTTTTTCACATAAGCCACACTTAGTTTTAATGACAGTATATATCGATATATTTATCGATATCGATATAGGTAAAATATATATATGTAATAAAAAAAAAATTATACATAACGAAGATATACTGCATATCGTTGAACAAGAAACGATAATAATGAAAAAAAAACATATTCAACTAATAAAATGTTGCGGTCTATAGATTGTATATCGTATATCGTATATCTATCTTGTAAATAAATTTTAGACCCATCTAATAATTTATACTGTATTAACACAATTTAGTTATAAATTCGAGTTTATTATATAGTTAAATATTATAGTTATTATAGTTATTATAGTTATTATAGTTATTATTCACTATGATCATGATATACACAATCACAATGGCCTTTTGTTTTAAAGAAAATTAGATCTAGTATAATTATATATTGAATACAATATATATCTGATATACATTCCATTTACTAGTAGTACCCCCCTTATATTAACTCTTATCCAGAAACTAATATGATGATCATCGACCTTGCTTCAAATCCATTATTGATGAAAAAAAAAAAATTCGTGTATACGTATAACAGATAATGTAACGTAAAAATGTATATTATAATGTATATAATATCATTTATATAAAAACACATTATTATTATTATTAACGTTAAATGTTTAATAAACACTAAATATAAGATGCCGCCGGAGACGCTAATTATATATTTGTATTATTATATGCTATAAAAACGGTCGAAAAAAAAAAAAAAGAATTTTTTTTTTTTTTATATGTTTAAAAAAAAAAACTTTATACATTGTTTTTTTTCGACATGGGTTTATAAAATAAGTATATAAAAGCTATACGTATAAAATTTAAAATAAAATAAATACGTATAACTGATAATATCGTCGCTTTACATTATATAGCTTCAATATATATATATATATTATATACATATATATATATATATATATTATATAAATACAATACGATAATGTATATTGAAAAATATTTACATCTATATTATATTGCATAAATATTAATATTCGGCGGCACGGATGATATATATTTGGTCATATCAACAGTATGTATTGTACAGTATAATTATAGTGTGTAATATTCATTACTTTATTGTATAAGATGCACATCTTAGGGAGTAGTAAATTCGGAATAGACGAATCAATATAAAAAGAACAGATTGCGTCTTGAGCAAAAGATAAATTACTACTCTCTTTTGAACAAAGGAGATTATAATAACGAAAGTACCTTTCATTCGCTTCTACAAAAAAATTTTCTCCTTATTTATAATCTTAGAATTAATAATAAATGAAATAACATTCAATCAATAAAAAAAAAAAACCTCTATTTTTTTTTACTTTTTTCTTCGGGTTTAATCCTCTCGAAAAATTTCACTTTTTTCTTCCCATTTACAAACGATGGAACTAGATATTGGCTGGTGTCTTAATTGTAGTAAACAACTTTACGATACAAATGCACTATATTGCGGTTCAGAATGTGCAAATTTGGAGTATTCGGGAAAAACAGTCCCTGTTAATTCCACTTTGAGTCCACCTTCTTCACCTCCCAGTAATTTGAGATTTTCTATTGCAATCACACCAAATATTTATCATGCTTCCGAATCTAACGCGAGAGCCCTTTCACCGCCTTCATCAGCATCCAGTTCCTACACTGATTCCAATCTTTCTTCCTCACTCACGAGCGTTTGTACTATTGACAAATGTTATATTGGCATCAATGGCCAAGACAATGATGATGCCTTCTTTGATGATTACAATCCTTGTTATTACTCTACAAGTAATCCTATTGATATTCCAACATCCAGAACAAAGGCCGATTCTAAAATGACCGAACAAGCCAAACCTGTTTTCGGATTTGGTGAAGGAAGTTTCGGAAAAAAGATTGATTTCTAATCTCACGTTTTTTAGAAGGAAGAAAATTTAGAACCCACGAGAAAAAGTGAAAAAAAAAAAATTAAATAAATCCGTATGATATCCTCGGATATCCGGATTACCCAAAATATAACAAAAATAACACAACTCAGAATATTACTCACTCAAATATAAAAAACATTTAATCCTTAAAATTAAAAATCTCGTTCTCGCACATAATTTTAAGATATTATGGATCAAACATTATGATTTAGTCTACGGACTTGACTTTTACGATTTTTGATTTCGCAACAAAAAAAAAGAAAAAGAAAAGAAAAGAAATTTCTTTTTATTAAGAAATTTTCTTTTTTTTTCATATATGTATATAAAAAAATCTCCCTTTTTTTTTTTTCTTAACAATTATTTTTACTATTTTTATTCTCTTTATATTCGAAACGTGAAACGAAAACGAAACGAAAAACGAAACGGAAACGAAACATTACAAAATTTTTTTAAAAATTATAAATCTAAGCATTATGTTATATTTTTTTTTAACTAAATTTAAATTTGTTTGCGAAATCAAAATTTTTACGATTATAATTCAAAAATTTCAAAATTTATATATATTTCTTTTTCTATGTATAGTTAAATGTGCGATATATAACTTTTTTATTTTTTTATAATTTAACCCTCAAAATCATTAACTTCCGATTATATATGTGTATTATAAATAAGAAACAAAAAATACTTGCTTTTTCTCATTCCCTCATCCATTTAAACCGATCCTACTCTGTACATTTTTGTAATATATTTTCTTCCCTTCCTCTCCTTCTTACTTCACAAATTATCACGCTCTTTGTATTATAATTCCTACCTTGTTTTTTTTCTCCTTTTTTTTTCTTTTCTTTTTCTTTCTATTTCCTTTTCTGCGTAAATATATATATACAAAAAAATTAACTTTTACTTTCGTGTGTACTTTGTCTTAAGTTTCGGAAATTTATAGTTTCGGTTGGGGATTCTATCTATGGATGGAACGGCGGACAAAGAACGCTTAATTGCATTATATAATTTCTTTCTATTTTATTATTATTTTCATTTTAAATAATTATTCGTAATTCAGAAAATTGTGTCAAAAAAAATGAAAAAAAATTTAAAAATAAAAATAAAAAAAAAAAGTTCTTTAGTGTGTTTGAAAAAAAAAAATTTTGAAAGTAATTTCGTTTTTATTTTTTGTTGATATCAAATGAATCAAATGAAAAGAATCAAAAGGTTTATTAAATGAATCAAATGAATCAAAAGAATCAAAAGGTTTATTAAAGGAATCAAAGGAATCAAAAGTTTTATTAAAAGCAATGATTAATTTATTCCTCATTCAAAGGTTTTTTAAAGGAATCAAAGGAATCAAAAGTTTTATTAAAAGCAATGATTAATTTATTCCTCATTCAAAGGTTTTTTATAAGTTGATTTCCCTATAAAAATGTCTACATAATCTCTTTCTTTATCATTGCTCATAACTTGACCTCTTTTAAATTTCGCAGTTCGAACCTTTCTTTTATTTTGTTTTTTAGTAATTTTCTTCGATGAATTAGATTTTGGACCAAGAATTTCTTCTTTTTTTGATGATGATTTGGTAGTTTGATCAGTGTTAGCAGTAGTAATATTAGTAGTAGTATTAGCAGCAGTAATGTCGAGTGATGATGATGATTCTTTAATTGCTGCCTGAACTCTTTTTGCTTCTTTTGTCTATAAAGAAAAAGAAGTTTACATATTGCTGTATTGCTGTGTTGGCGATAACTATTTATTGGAAACTTTTACTTACAAGACGTTTAGTAAACTTTGCAGATTTACCCATTATGTTCGTTGACACTATCGCTTTGTATTTGAAGATTATTGTAACATATAACAGATAACGACAAGTAACATAAGTAACATAAGTAACATAAGTAATGTAAGTAATGTAAGTAATGTAAGTAATGTAAGTAAACAAAGTATTCCCGTACAACGTAAGATATAACCCAGATACTTGAAAAATGTTAGTTAATTATGGGATTAGTGTTACAATATGGTAGTCAAACATTTGATGGATCACGTGACCATTGACATTTATTTTTAAATGCACCATGCGTTCCAAGAAAAAGAAAACAAGGAACATGTGAGTACATTACGTATTTGTTTTGTCAACTTTCGTGTAGTGATAGGCATATGGTCTCAAATTCCACTAATTCTACCAATTCTACTTGAGAAATACAAAACTGTAGAGATTCAATTGTCGGAAAAACAAAAGGATAATCTCGATAATTGCAAATTTTAATAATGTAATATATTTTTTTTACTACGTCATTTTATATACATGCAATGACTTATTTTATATACATGTAACAATGTGTCAGAAGAAACTGTTTCATGGTTCCAATTTTTCTGTTTGTATTTTTAACCAGATAAGTGCATTTAATTCTATTTGTCTATTAAGAAGAAGAAGAAGTCGAATAAAGTTTGATGATGGTGGTTTACTTTGTACTCCCATATGCATTTTAATTCAAAAAAAAAACTCATTTACTTAACGTTACTATTATGAATTTATGAATTTAAAAATCAAGATCATCTTCTAACCATATAAAAACATAGAAATACATAGAAATTAAATAAAAAAATATATATAAAAAATATAATCATATTTTATTTTATATATAATTATTTTTTATATAATATACATGGGGCATTACTCAAAAGAAAAAAGGTTTTGAACACAATATTATGTGTACCGTAAAACGGTAAGGAAAAAAAAATAATAAAAGTATTTTTGCATAAACTAATTTATTTTTTGACGTGTGATTGTCTTTTATTTTTTACAAAACCTTTTTTCGTGTGCTTCCGTATATCGCCGTCGTGTTGCCATGGTCTGGGCTCTCCATGCAAGGGTTCATTTTTATATTCTCGGATATAAACCTCTCGTGTGTAAAAATTTTTAAGAATTTCACGCGAATGCATGTCATTGACATGTCCACTATGCAGTAACTTTTTTCCCTTTTCCAAAATGGTTTTAATTAAATCGATACACAACGTTTAATAGAATATCATTTTTAACAGCTATCAAAAAGTAATTTATTATTTTAATTTATTATTTATAAATTATTCTCATGAATATATTTATTCTAATGAATAAAAAAAAAAAAAAAATTACTTTTTTTTTAACTAACTTTGTAAACAATTTAAATCGGTTGAAAGATTTATTTTAACCAGGAAAGCATAAATTGGTGTAAATGCACTTGCT